TCTCTGCTCCTATAGTTTCTCCAGGGTTGATATCCAGAGGGGAAACCAGCACCCTAACTAGCTTGCCATCTTGGGTGGTCCTACCACTTCACAGTGTCTCTTTTTCCTTGACTCTGCCTTTCTTCATCACTTGGTGAATAGTTGAATGGGTGAATAAATATTCATGATCTTCATCATCCTGTCAATTCAGGCCCCAGTTCTTGAAACCAATAAGTGGAACTCTTGATACAAACAGTACTGTGTGCAGCACTGACTGCTTATATCTAGCTCTTTAACAGGCCTTAAATTAGGCCTAGCATGTTCATCAAGAAACCATGGTAAATTTCCCCAAACATGTTTCATCTCCTAAATATCTGCACAAAGACCACATTTGAAGTAGAGAAGCTGCAAACCAGCACTGTGTGAACACCCCTCTGGCTTAAAAAAAGAAATCATCGCTACAGAAAGAAGACTTTTAAACTATAGAAAGATGAGTTTCATCTGAGGGCTGCTTATATTTAAAGGAATCTATTGACCATGGATTTGTTTACTTTGGATCAAAAAGACAAACGTGGAAAACAATCTCTCTTCTTTTCTTAACCAACAGAAGATTACTATCTGATACCCTTTAGAGTTGAAAAAGGGGAACAGCTTTATTTTGAGAGGCAGGATAATATAGTAGGACCAACCAGGATGACAATTTAAAAAGACCAGGCACAGGGAAGTCTTGATTCAAATCCTAGCTCAGCCACTTACTAACTGTGTGGTTGTGGTGGACAAGTTATTCAACTTCTCTTCCACTAAGTTTTCTTATCACTAAAGTGGGGATAAAAGAAGGATTAGTTGTTACAAAGAATAGTTGAGCTAATTGATCTATTTATGTTGAATACAGTGTTTCGATGATTGGTGTTTCTCTCTCTTTTTCTTCTTAAATCATCTCTATTTAAGGGATGTTCTTTATAACTTTAAGCCCACAATATTCCTCTCCCAATGACATTACACAAAAGCTACACTGCATGGGTACAGTGCAGAAGGCACTACATAGAGAGAAATGCTCACTGCCCAGAGACTAGCTATCCATGCTGTTGTGCAGAGATATTAGGAGTTTGCGGCTGGGTCCATGTTTAGGTGTATGGGCCCTGAGACCAGTGTGCTAGCTTTGATCAGCCAGTCTGGCAGAGTTGGATGGAGATTGATTTCCTGATATTTTCTGAATTTGTTTTCTCATTAAAGTCATCTCAAACTTTTATTCAGCACTTCACCAGAAATACTCTGAGATTTTTATTAGGAAGCAAATTTCTCCAAATTAAAATAAAATAATGGATCTGTTAAGCAAAAGAGACTGTAGCTACATGAGGTGGCATTGCTGGTCAATCGGTGAAGAGAATGGCACAGTTTAAGTCTCAGTGGAAGGCTTTCTGGGAAAGTTAGATAGAAGGCATTGAATTTCTGTAAATAAAAATGGACATTGATTAGTGACCTAAGAGACTGGCTGGTCAATGCTTAAGATAATGGAAAATCACTGAAATCTTTCAGAGATGTTTGCTAATCCAAATGGAGGAAGATACAATATCAGAAAATCCTTCTGCCCTAAGTTAGTTACAGTTTCAATGGCTGTGTTTTCTTTCCTTCAGTGCTTCATATTATTCAGAGATATTAAACAGATGTTAATTTCATGTCTGGAAGAAAAAATCATCAGAAATATAATTTTTAATTTTCAAATGTGGTGTCTCTATCTTCCTTTGCCTTCACATGCACATATTATCATCCTTTTTCTTTATGTTTCTGGTTATTGTTTCTTATAACCCCGTGGCTCCATGTCATTATCATAGTTCAGTAAAATTAATTTGACATAAGCTTAAATTAGGAGTAAGACACCTTGTTTGCCCTTTGAAAATAGCAAGTGGATTTCCTCCTGAGTTCGGTCGATTTTCTAAATGGTTTCTCATCTCCCTTCTTAATGAATAATCTCATTTTAAACCCTAAAGTGTTAACTCCTGTGATGAGCAGGATTATTACAGCAATTGAGCTGTAATAATCGAGCCAATGGAAAAACCATGGTTTTGGACCTTGTTGTCAGGAAAATGAGTCCTCTTTGAGCCTTTGCATAGAGATCTTGTTCTGAGGATGTTTCTTATAACTGGACCTCTCCTGGCCAGTGTTAATGAAGAGAGAAGATCACATTCAGCTACCACCCCCAACCACATGTGTCATGTTGTTCTTCCACCCCAAAGATATCAGTGGTTATGGTAAGTGTTCACCTAGCACGTTGTGATGTTTACATTGACACAGAAATGAAGCAGTCCCTATTGCAAAGAAACTTGGCCATGATAGCCACAATTTATGAAGGCTTGTTTTATAGTGGGATGGAATATGTATGAAACATCTGTTGAATCAACGAGTAATGAGTGAAGGAATGAATGAGAAGGGCTGTACCCGCACGATGACAGCATTTTTGTCATGTCTTTTCCAACATCTTTCCCTCCTTCAGGAACCATGATATCTATTTGCATCTAAAGGCCTATTTTGGATCACTTTGTAGTAGGATCAAAGCAGATGGGGCTGCTAACCATCTGAGTGCAAGTTTGTATCTTGAAGAATCAGATTTTATGATATGATGGGAAATTACTTTTGTTAAGATCACAAGGATAATAATATATATTCATATTGCTCTCTGGAACATAAAGGGAAAGATGTAGCCCTATGTAGCCCTTCTGAAAAAGTTTCCCAGATCTCATGAGGCAACAATTTCGAATGCTATCACATACTGAGAAGACTCTACAAATTGCTCCTGTTCTCCTTTATTAGTCCATCACAGTTCTCATTTAATCCTCATTTTTTCCATTTCTTGCTTTCCATTTCTGAAAATCTTTCCAATAGTGGCCTTTATAATTCTAATGATAGTTAATTAGTTGCCTTTCATCCAGCCTTAGTCTCTCCCCTAAATGATATTAAAAACCAATGATCGTAACAATTTTAATGATCTGATGTGATGTTGCACAGATCAAGTTGGGTCCTGGAATAATAAATAATAAAAACAGGAGTGATAAAAGGATATGATACTTTCTTGCCCTAGACTTCTTTGTTGTGCTTCCCAAACCTATGCAATATAGATTGACAGTTGTGTGTGGTTTTGCATTACCAAGGGTATGAGAAATGTGTCACTGAGTTTACAGTTAAAATGAAGACTGAAGATGGTTACACTAGTAAAGATAATAATCCTGATATTTTTTCACATGGTTTCTAAACTATACTTTCAGATTATCTTTTCCTTTCTACAGTACAAACAAGATGGGATGTCAGCAGACCATGGCTAAAATGAAAAAAAGATCATGGAATGAGCAGGAGACAAGATGAACGAATGAAAAGATGAATAATGTATTTCATTAGAAAAATATGCAAATATACATCTATTTGCTTTTAACATACTCTGTATTAAGTTACACATATACATAGCATAAGCATTTCACATAATTTTAGCAAAATTAAGCATTTCATACAATTTTGCAAAACTATATGCAATTCTATTATAAGCTGTTTGGTGTTCTTCAGCCCCTACTATATTAGCACAATTACATCTAAAATATTTTAGCAATATATTATCACATTGTACTAGAGCTGCCAGAAATACTCTGTTTTCCATGTTTGTAAACAAAAATAGAACATTACTACATAACACTGTGATTGGAAAAATACCTTCTTTTCAACTCCTCCCTTACATTCAGTAAAGGAGACTCAAACTACTTTAGTATCCAAAATAAATTTTAACTAGAGTAATATAATTTTTTCTGGGTGCACTAAATATGTAACCAGAACAAATCAATTTATTGTCTTTCCACAATTAAATCACTTCTGAAAGGCAGTGGCATAAGATGACATAGATGAGACTTGGGATTTGGAGGGTTTCAATATATCTCCTCATTTAGCACACAAATTAAATAATGGTAACTCAGATTATGTTGCAAATTCATAAATTAATTTCGAGTGCCAGTAATGATACTGGTTTATTCAGGGATTTTTGAAGATCTTATACTGGGAAGTAAAGAGAGAGTTGGGAATATAATATTGTGTTTTAATGAGAAGCTGTACTTTTAACGTGAATTGATATGTGGTTAAATTTGTAGCAGTAACTTCTTTTTTTCCTGCTTTGCTAATAGCAGCAAACAAGAGGTCAACTACAAACTGATTTCTATTAGCCCTACTGAATCTTCCTGGAAAAGACTGAGATCTTGTTAAGTTTTGAAACTGGGTGGAAGGCAGTTAATGGACTTACATGGAGTCTTTTAATTACTAGTCTTCAACAAATTTATCTTTTACTGCTAGATAGCACCCAAGGGCAAGAGGTAATCTGCTTTATAAACCTTGGAGTGAATTGATTTGTAAATCCAGGAGTTTAGGAAAGTGGAAAACTCTCTTTAAAGAGCATATTCTCTTCCACTAAGAATTATATTTTTGGCAGTTTTTTGAAAAATTTAGTGATGGATTCTTTGTGACCTCCCAATTTATAAATATCAGCAACCAAACCACATTCAACATTAAAACCAATTCCTTACAGCAGTTAGGGCCTGCCCAATGGACAGGATTATCCAAAATCAAGCCAAGCATATAATGTTTCCAGCAAATTGACTCCAAATTTTTTTTCATTCAAAGCATTACATATTCCTGCCAAATGCAGGTCTTTTCTCCCAGAAACTTAGTCATCTTTCTGTTAGAAAGCCACTTTGTCTTGCAGAGGTCATATAATTTGTGCAGTTTACATAGTATGGATGCTAAAATATCTGAGTAACATCAGCATTGATTGAAATTAAAAATAAAAATCAGATCTATAGCCAAATACAGAAATATTCTAATTCAAAACCTAGAGTTAAAAAGAAAAATATTGACAGTGACTTGAATTTTTCAAAGGTATAAATGGCTCAAGATTAACAAGGAGCACCCTGTATTTGATCTAGGTCAATTTAATTGTTTTTCTTGGATACTTTGCTTGCATTACTATGATAACTGCATCTCAAACTTGGATGAATGATGGAGTTCACAAGTTGCAGTGGGAGACTCCATTCCTAGACTGTCTCCCAAAGCAATAGTACCAAGAATAACTTTCTCCAGATTTACTATGGACAAATTCACTTAATAATTCTTCACAAATGATATGCTCAGCACCTGGGAGGATGGGAATCACTTTAAATGCATGATTTATCTCTCTCCCAGGAAATGAAGGCTCAGTGATCACAATGCTGTGTTTGCTTCACATTCAAGCGGATGACTCTTGCTCAATGACATTCAAAGGGATGATCTCAGCACCCTCCTCATCTGGGATGTTGATGGCAAGCTCATTCCTCAGCTCCTGATGGCAGATGTAGATGGGGATGTCGCCAGCCTCAGCAGATGCTGCAGCTGCAGCTGCAGCACGAGCAGCAGAGCGGTTGGAGGGGCGGCTTCCCCAACGCTGGTTCCACTGGATTTTAAACTGCGCCCATTGGCGCTTCAGGGTGGTTTGGACCTGGAAGGAAAAAGGCAGCCTTGTTTTCACATGATAGTCAGAAATGACCCATGTTAGTTTATGAACACAATCATTAGAGTTTATCAGAGATGAAAGGAGGTCGAATTGTAATTTTGATCTAAAGAGCTGTGCTATATATGCTGTGGACATGGAATATACCATCTTGGAAGAAATATTTGGAAATTGAAGAACTAAGTCACTGCTTAGATTACCACTGGCAAGTTTATTTGCTATTTTTGAGCAAAAATTTCTTCTTTGGTTCTTATATCCAAGGAGTAAAAGTTAATCTAATTTCATAGTCAATGTGGCATACCTGTAGTATTAGGGAGAAAGGTTTAAGAAACATTTTTCATGCTACTACTCTTGATAAGGAAGAAGCTTTTATATAAATCAACATTGTATTGGCCATGAAAAAATATATATGTAAACTATAGCACAATTCTGGATTTTATGACAATGGTCTCATACTGTGGATTTTCCCTTATCCCTTATGGAATATGCCAAAAAAAACTCTGGTTAATATAGTGACAACCTTTTAAGAATAAAATTTCAATCTCTCTCTATTGAAAGACTTCTAATATATAAACAAACTTTCCAAATTATTTTATAAATATGGTAAACTATATATTGAAAACAAGAGGTAGAGAAAATGCTAAAGTCAGGAAACTCTAAATACAAAAACTACAATAACTGCAACTGGAAATAATAACACATGCAATGAATTTGCTTGCTTAGCTCTGCTTTTTATAGAACAGAATTCAATTTAGTAGTTAAGTTCATCCTTCCTCTTGTCTCCAAACTTTTTGCTTTTCTCTATAGTTGAACAAAACTAAAAAGCAGATTATTCCAACAATATCTTTTCTGCATTTCTGAGAGTTTCTATTGCTCAGTACATGAGGCAAGCTTACACACAAAGTATCTGCATCAATTTATTAATACATCTTTAGTTCATTTGGTCACCAAGCTCACATATGGCAGCTAAACACATGAGAGAGATTCTGGGAGACATATAATAGGAGATAAATCATGTAACTAGTTGATCATGGAGACCATTTTATCTACTTTACATTTGTATAAATCTGAAAGAAGATAAAAATGGCTGCAAAACCCATTAATGCTATCAAAACTACATGTATAATATAAGGCTGAATGCTTATGCAGCAAATAAATTTTTTTCTGTATTAGTAGAGTAATAATCTCTCCTGATAATTATTAGTATTTGTTATATAATTTTCAAGGTTTTGCTCGGAAGAAAGCAGAGTCAAATGATTCATTGAAAAGCAAGTCCAGAGAGTAAGGAATTTGTAGCTACAGAAGTTCATCTCTGCATAGCAGAGCAACTGTAAGGTTCATGATGACAAATGGCAATCAGAATAATTCAGCAATCTGATAGTTTGAATACCCGAGTTTTCAAATTACTGAGGCAACAAATCCTGTTTTTTTCTTTTTTGGGGGAGGTGATGAGTGCTTGGTTGCAAAGTACTTTATATCTAATTTTATTTAAAAGAGACAAAGACAAAAACTTTATATGCTAAGGAGTGAGGTATGTCAGGTGGCTGAATTTTGCATTGACAAAAGCCACACAGGGAAATAAAGGATGAAATAACAAGTTTCGGCTACTATTTATTGAGTGCTTACCACATGCCCTATTATAAGCCCTTGATTTATATTAACTTATTTAATCCTCACAGCAGCCCTATGGAAAGGGCAATATTATTATCTCCACTTTATGGGTAGGGGCGGCTGAAGTGACGTACTGTGTCCACGAACAGAGAGCTGGAATACGGCAGAGCCACAGTCTCAAGTGAAGCCTGGTTTTATTTGGATTGTACTATCTATTAAATGTAGGTCCTTAAATGCCAAGTTTATAATCTAGGAACCATCAAATGCCCTGTTGAAGAATTTGGAAATACACTGGTTCAGTGTATTTTTGGAGAAGCAATGTCTGGAGAAAGGAAGCTGACAGTTTCCAGGGATTCAGCATCTCTTAAATGCCAAGATAATGCTTATAGCTAAACGTACATAGGTATGTAGAAGTATCCAAGATAGACAGTTATAAATTTAGAGTGAGTTTGCAAAACTGCCCAGCATAAAAGAAAGGAAGACTTTAGTTTTGCCTCACCTGTCCTTTTAAAATAATCAGAGTTTCCATGTATATTAATGAAGTACTAAGCCCAGCATGAGGTCAAAGAGTTTGAAGTCTATTTTAATTTTTTAAAGCTATTATTATGGAAAGGTTTATAGCCTTCTCTGATTGCATTCCAAAATTATAACCCATCCTTTTGTGTGGAGATAACAATCTGCTTTGATTTGTAAACTACACATATGAGAATAGGCCCTTCGCAGCATGGCGAACACACTTCAATAATTACAGTTTAATAAGGGCAATTATCTCCTACAATGCCACAGGTTGAACCTGATGCTGCTTTAATGACAAGAAAAAGGGCATTGAATCTGTTTGAAAAAAAAAACAGGGAGATTTTTGTTACTCCTGAAAAGTAACAAATGTTAGGATTTGTAAATGGGCTAACTCTAACATACAAAGTTTTGTGAATTGTGCTGCTGTAAACATCCCTTAGTAATGGGATCTTAATGAAAATGGAAATGGTTTCTTTACCTCAAAAAAAAACAGAGATGACATACTCAAATGAACTTGAGACATGGAATTGTTAGGACTACCCTTGGGTTCGCTGTCTATGTTTGACACTTCCAACGACAGCATCATAGTGAAGACACAATAAATATTTTGGTATTTTTACAAATGCATGGGATCCTCTTGTGTTTTTCAAGGCATGGCCCTCCTGGGTCTGATTTTTATATTAGCCCTATTTTGATAGTATTTCGGATGAAAAAATTTATTTTGCATGCCACCTGAAACAACTCAAAAGGCAGAGATATGTGTTCACAGAAATTGATATAAACATGGGTGACTTATGCCCTACTCATTTATTAATTTTTACTATTCTGAAAAAAAAAAAGGGACACTTTAACAGCTGGCAACAGAAGGATGTTTTTTATTTCTATACTAGAACCCCAGTCTACCCCTTAGCAATAATGAATGGACAACATATTTTTGTTGAATGAAGGAATGAGTTGGTGGATGAATGGATGAAGAAAGGAATAAAATGTACTAGTGAAAAGGGAACAATAAAAACCTTGCTATTTGAGGTTGGAGATGGATACAAATAGGTCACAGAGCAGCAAAATATTTTAGGTGTTCACTAAATATTTAACTAAGAAATAAAGAATAGAGAATAAATTAAATATTAACTGATAATGGTTAGAAAAAATTTCTAATTACTGACAGGAAAATAATATGTTGGTGTCTTCACAAAATGTGATTTGTTTTGTATAGAACTATTCTTAAGAGGAATTGATTTAAAATGTTCAAAAATACATTTGCATTAAAAGTTATACATTACTAGAGAAAGTATACTAACAAAGCCCCAGGCAAAAATTATATACATAGATAATTTAATTGAGATTTAGTTAATTTAATTGAGAATCAGAGAATCTGTGTTCCAGTCCTGGTTATAACTACAACTGTGTTTGTGACAATAGGCAAGTCACATTATCTTTCTGGAGCTTAGATTTCTCACCTGAAAAAGGAGGGAGCTTTTGAATTGTGTTCCCTAAAACCATGGAAGTTCTTTGAAAGAACATCTGGGGCAATAGCAGTTAAACTTTTATATTTTACAAATTGAGCTCCCAGGTAAGATTTCGTTTGAAGATAGGGTATTCTGGCTAAAAAAAACCTAAGAAACTGGCTGTATAAATCTCTAGATTCTACTGACCTAAATAAATATTCAGATAATAGATTATTTATTTAAGAATCCTTTTTGAGTCTTAACCTCAGGGTGATTTTAGAAATGTTGAAAAAGTGGTATGACATTGGCACCAAACAGCTGGAAAAGAAGGCAGCAACTAGTACAAACTGGATGGACATTGGCTCTGCCCTAGCGAGGGCTTGGATCTTCCAAAGGGAATAGGGATATGACTTTTCTTTCTATGGGAATCCAGAATAGCTCTAACTATTACGGCTGGGGGTGCTGAACAGTTCAAGATGCAACCCAGGGAAAGCATAACTTAGCTGCCTGTCCAGATAGTATCTGCAATTGTACCACATATCCGTAGATAAGATTTAGCTTGGAGTAATGGAAAAAAAACTCAATGCTGCTAGTTACAAAACCCTATGAGGTCAACTGTAGAAATAAGATCAAATGAAATGTGTATGGAGGCCCTTTGGAAACTATAAAATGCTGGCTTTATATAAACAGGTGACAGTATTTTATAAAATGCATACTTACCTCATTGTTGCAGAAGCAGTAGATAGTCGCGACAAAGAATCCCTAAAAAGAGAAGGAAAAATAGAGTTGAAGTTATTTTTGTGTGTATTACGTTGTTTAGTAACCAATATAAATAGACTGCCTGGAGAGGAACATTTCACTATTGCAATAGCAAGTCAAGGTTCGATGAAGTCAAAAGGCAAGAAAAAGAATTACCTAGCACTCATATTCACTGCTATACTACCAGATAGTCCATTAAAAATGTATTTTTCTTGTTAGGATGCTATTGTTTGGCTAAAGGACAACTCTAGTAAATCTGTTTAATATACTTCTCCCTTTAACATGGAGATTTATAGCAGAACATGCTGATTATAGTGCATTTGAAAAAAAAATTGTACTTAAAAAATTTAAAAACTGAGATTTTGTAGAGTTCAGTAGAGAAATCTTTTACAAGCCTAAGTGTCATTGTGGGTGACTGTGGGCCTGTGTCCTGTGGTGTCATGGTGAACTAGTGCACTACTATACCCACAGCCAAGCTCAGATAAGGACATGGACTAAATAAGCTCTGAAATCCTCATCACTCCTTGTAAGATTTCTTGCGCCCAAGTTTTAATTATGACCAAAGCAATAGCTCAAATTATGAACACAATCCCTAAACTCTCTTTTTAGTCCTGTTAATTTTGGCCTCATTCTCACATTAACCCTAAAGTAGAAGATAAAACTAATTTGAAATTTTTAATTGAGACAACAAAACCTGGGCCTAAGAGCCTCTGGTAGAGTCACCTCTGCCTTAGGACCCTCCATGCCCTATCTTGTTCTCAAAATATCTAGCACTGTGCTTTCAATGGGACTTTGAATATGGGGCAAAGTGAATGGAAATGAGGCAGCCATTCTCCTTTCCAGTGTGGCAGGCACTGGGCATTCCAGGACAGCCCCTGAGAGCCCACTCCATTCTCTCCTGCATGAGGAAAGACCTGGACACGACTTCCCTTTATGGGCACTGAAGTGTCATGGATGGATTCCTGACATTTGCCGGACAAAGGGAGGGTGATAGAGCGGGAGGCATGGGCAACTTTGTGCACATTCATTACTCCTTCTTACCCCAGAGTCAGCATTTATTTATAGAGGAAGGTCTGACAATTATCGCATGTTTGACCAGAAAGGACATTCCTGGGTGGGACCAGCCGAAGGCTGTGGGAGTGATAGGAAAGCAGGCCCAGAAAGAAGAAGCAAGGAAGAATCTCATAAAACCTGGTGTCCTTCAGATTTTTGGCTGGGCTTCTTGAATTAGAGACTGTGTTGTGACATTTAAGATCATGGGCCTTAGAGTTAGATCAACTAGCTGAATAAGTACAGTGGTTGAATTAATACACTGTTGACTTCCTTACCTGGAAATGAATCAGAGAATGCATCAGGTAATCATAGATCTTCCCAAGCACCTGGTTGGAAGGTCTCCAGGGAAAGACAACAAACTGGATTCCCAGCAGGGGCACAAGGATCATAGTGGCTTTCACAGCCTTCAGGTACATGTACGATTCCGCCTCATGGGTTTGCCTCATTTTGGTCACAAGCACCCGGACAATGTTCAGCAAAAAGAAGAAGTTGATCTGCAAAGATACGATGTTATGAGCAAATCATTCAGATAAGCACCACTTAATGACACCCACTGTTTTCCACTCTTGTTTATCCGATGTGGGGAACAGATGTCACCTACATAGAATAGGAGAGTCTGACTGAGAAGTGCTGCGATTCACTCAGCATTCCTTGGAACATCAGCATAACCAAAGACCCTTTCCAAACCTGTATTCATATTTTCTTTGTTTTTCTTAAATAAAGAAAATATTTTCCCTGTACATGTAAATATATTAGGTTCAACTCTAATGAGGACGTCTACTCTTTATTTCGATTTTATAACTTTTACAAAGCAGTGTGGAAAACACCACATTTGGATCTTGCCTTCCTGTTTTTCATTATCAAGATTTTCCCCATAGCCAGGACACTACTTGACTGAAAGTGAAATGAGGACTGAAAAATTCATCTGTAAATTTTATGTAATGGAGACAAATCACTTAGCCTTCTTTTAAAAATAACATTTTAAAAAGGAAATATTTTCATTGAGGTATAATTTATGTTCAGTAAAATGCAGACTTTAAGCGCACATTTGAGAAGTTGAGACAAATGTTTGCACCTGTGGAACAACCACTCCAAAGTCCACTCTAAAGACCATTTATACAACACCAAAATATAAAATTAAAATATAAAATTGAAATATTAGATCAATTTTATATGTATTGGTTCATAAGACATAAGATTATTTATCTAGAGAAATTGAAGGATACATCTAGTTTTCTAATTTTATTTTGACATGAAACGTGGTCTCTACCAAACCAATGGACACAATGGCAAAAGAATGTTACATATAAATTTAAAAAATATAGGAAATTGACATCTTCTGGGTCACAAACTATTTTTGGCTGTGAGGGTTAGTTTTGAAACCAAAGTTGCTTTTAAAATTTAATTGACAATTTATTTTAAAAATAGTTAGAATGATCTTTCTACCTGGAATAGGAATAACTGTTATCGCCCAAAAATTTCAAGAAAGAAAAAAGATCGTTGGTAATAACTGAACCTCACAGTGTGTTATAAAGGTTCAAGACATCAGTGGATCCCTGTGAGCACGGCTGGGCTCGTGAGTACATCACTACTCTGAAGAAATTTAATTTCTGTTGGAAAGGCCAGGAAAGTTAGAAGACAGTGTGGATGATAACCTAGTTTGATCAGTTCCTGATGGATGCTTTTTCAATGTGGGAGCAGGACATTGGTCTATGACTCAAGACTGTTTTCATTTTTCTCACTCTTATCTGAAGAAAACACTGTCTTTGAGGTTAATGGGAAAAATAAAAATGAATTATTAAATTGTTCTTTCTGATGCTGGCCAACACGTAGTAAGCCTTGGGTAGATATAAAGAACTTGGATTAAGAATCAGACAGTCACATTCTCCATCCTCCCGTCCCCCATGTCCAAACTTCTTACTAGTTCTGTGATTTTGAGTGAGATTACTATAGTCATTGGGTGTCGTTTTCCTAAAGAGAAAAATGACCTGCTATATCAACTTTAGAGTGTTGTTTTTAGGAAGAGCATGGCAATGTGTGTGAAATGCCTGAAATATTTCACAAGTGTGATTAGTGGTAGTTACGATGATGGCTCATGTACCAAAGATGAAAAAGAAGATGGTTTTGTTGTGTCCGGCCCAGGGAAAAGGGATGACATCGTTTATGGTATCTCACTTTCTTCATCGGCAACACTTTTTCACCATTCCTGTAGCCCCTTGACCTTAACCTTTACCTAGGAGAATCTAGTTATAGAAGTCTTAAAAAATAAGCTACATTATTGTTATGGTGTGTATGAAAGTGAGTTCATGTAACCCCTCTATGTGTAAATAAAAGTCATTTTTGAAGGCTTTAAAGTGAAATTATCATTCTTACTATAGAATATCATTAAATGAGATCCATTTTGATGTTATAATACATATGCTACATGGAATCATATTCACAGAAGTCTCAACCAAGAGATAACACTGTTAATAATGGATTTAAAAACTGATTCTCACCACTAATGCTGCCATGATAGGGCCGTGGATTATGTAAAGCAAATAGGTTTCCACACTCAGCCAGCAGCTGAAAAAAAGGGGAGAGAACACATGAATACAAATGCATTGATTTTATTTATGAATATGTGAACTTAAAAACTACCATAATACTTACTTGTCGTTGAAGTACAGGGCCCGGGCAATAGCATGGATAGTGGTTGGCACCAGTGGGAACCCTAAAAATGTGAAAAGTACAAATCACACTTGGTTTCTTGGTCATAAGATATAAATACAGTTGCATGGAAAATGGTAGTATACTTGCAAAAATACTGGCAAATTTACTGTGTCTGTCAAGATATTCCCCTGATATTTCCGCACAAATTATCTTTGGTCAAGGCAGTTAAAAATGCTCCCTGTTAGAAGTGCATGTGCTTTCAGAGGGTTTGGTTAAGAGCATCCAGATAATTAAAAGCCTTTTACAAATTACCAAGTGTAGTAGGTACACTATGACTATTGCTACTATTTTTATATCTACGCTGCTGCTGCTGACTATTAACTGAAACCAGAAAGCCTTTCATTGTGGGTGAACTGGGCTCTCAGGCAGAGGAGCTGGGTCACCCCAGAGGGATGTGACCTGGAACAGTGTATGGAAGCAGTAGTCTGCTTTTAAAGCCTTAGCTGATGTTCACATTATTTCTTGGAGCCTTTTTGTTTATGTTTGTTTATATCACATGCATTGATCCTGTTTTCCTTTATGAACACTTCAGAGATGCCAGCGTATGCCTTACCCTCTTTAAGTTCTTGCTATAGAACCTTTATGAAGACAGCTCAGCATCCATTTCCCTGACTAAACTCAAAGTGCTAGCAAAAAAAGAATTTCGAATTTATAAGTGGAACAATGGAGATAGTTACTGGCAACGCGTCTTGCTAGGTTACATCTTTTTTAAAATCAATTTTCATTCTACAAATGTAACCTAGAATAAAGTTGTGATTTTCATTAAGAAAAGATTCTCTTTTTACTCCAATGTACCTATAAACAATAGAATAGTGTATGATTTTATTGAGACATCTGTACAAAGAGGATTTGTTATTATCATCAGATTAAGAAATGTGTCTCAGGAGAAAATTAAATCTACACATTTTTATTTTCTGTGACTTTTATGCAAAAAGAGAATGTCTCAAAATACTGAGTTTTTACCCAAGAATAACCTCAGCTTCTAAACCCATGAAGCATATAATTCAATAGGACCATTGATTTAATGTTTGGCTTGAAATAATTTTGAGTTTGGCTGTTTACACAAAACATGATCGTGTTTTTCACAGCACTTCTAAAGTACAATTTCCCCACTTGGGTTCAGAAACAGAAACTCATTCTCTGGATTTATTCTGAAATACATGTTTTAGAAGTAGCAAGAGAGGCATATGGAAATCTCAATCCCATCTCACCATTTTGTATAAAGGAAAGTGTTTTCTACTTTACATGGAGGAGTACAGACCCCACCCCTTTTAACTCCTAGGACTTCTTGCCTTCCTTTAGCTATGATGCCTTTTTTTATGCAGTTTATTTTTTTCTTTCCTCTTCCTCTTCTCCCTCCAGGCCCCAAGATCCATAACAACACATCCCTCCCACCAAAGATGGCAAGGGTGAGAATAACCCTCTCTCTGTAGGATTCTTTTTTTTTTTTGGGAGATTAGATAAATTCTACTTGTTCAATGTAAAAATCCATGGGGGGATTTTCCTTCCTTTGATTTCTAACAAGGGGGAAACTAGCAAGGCGAAGAATCAATTTGAAGAGTGCCGGAAAATAAATGATTTTCTAAGAACTAAACTTCAGTATTTGAAGTTGCTTCAATTTGAAAGAAATCGACCACTAAGTGGTGCCATGCAGACTTGGAAGGGAGTAACTACTAAAAGAACCATTCTTTCATTTTCTGTTGGGGAGAATTTCACCACTAGATATTGTTCACCCAGAGGGTGATGTTTACAATGTCTCTTATACTTCTCTGAGATTGGTTTCAAATCTTGGAGTTGGTAACATTATTCATAGCTGAGCTAAATGGATGGTCTTTACATTAGCTGCAAATAAATTAGGTCCTAGGACTTGGGCTCTTTTGGGCCAAATTTTCTGCAGTCCAACTTTAAAGATTCTTTTCAAAGCATTTAGTTTATGCCTTTTTTTTTTCTGGCACTATAAATTTAGAACCTATCATATTGTCTTAGTGTGAAAAGAATTTCAAAAGGACAATGAAAATATTATCCAGTAGAGATTTCTTTTCTGCTCCATTAAATTCTTTAAAGTTTCTGTGAAACTGGTTTTTCTTGAGAAGTTATTTGGTAGCAATTTTACTTGCTTTCCTCCCACCAGAAACAATGCTTGCACAAAGTTCTAAAAGAGGGCTATTGCTTTAAAATATGTCATTATATCATGTCTCAATTTTGTTCTCAGAGTTCAGATTGGGCACTGTGATTTCTTAATGGTAACAAGTTTGGTGGAATTTTGGTGTTTGTGTGTGTGTGTGTGTGTGTGTGTGTGTAGGAATGGAGAAAGATAGACTGAGCTCTGGCATGCTAAATAAAATCACATTTTAAAGCAATTTTGCTGACAATGTCTTTCCAAAAGTCTATCTACAGAAGTGCAAATCCGTCTAGTTTTTTAATTTAAATTTTTATTTTACTGTAGTAAGAACAGTTAACATGAGATCTACTCTCTTAACGGATTTTTAAGTGTATAATACAATACAATATTGTAACCTATAGGCACAATAGGTACAGTAGATCTCTAGAATTTATTAATCTTGCATTATACCTACCGATTAGGAAATCCCCATTCTGTGCTTAGCTTACTGTGTGTCATGTTCTTTAGGATTCTACTTGAATCATTCTGATGAAGTTTTCAATATTTGCTGATTAAGGAAGGTTAAGCTATCATATAAATATTTCACTTATTATCATTGCCTTCTTTTTGATACAGCCAAACAGCTTGTTTCTTTTTTCCTTTGAATTGTTTATGTGTGTTAAGCAGATATCTTCATTGAGTTGTCTATGATGATGCCAAAAAGTTTTATAACTAATTCACAATGCATCCACGTGGAAAGAGCAGTATAAATTGTTCCTTTCAGGGTGCCCTCATCTCTGCTGAATGTCACAGGAAAGAATAAATTTATAGCCTTTTTTTTCTCATGGAAAATTTTCTGAGTGTGGCAGATAGATGTTTTTAAATAGTCAAAACTAGTGCAAGAAGTATGCCATAGATTTTATTTCAAAGGAAATAAATAAAATAGATCTGACAGAAATAGTGTATGTGTGTGTGGTGGGCTTGGGCTGGAGTGTTATTTTTAGGTCTTAAATTGGAAGGCATTTGATTAGCACCAATTATTATTATTGTGATGATCAGAATTGCCATGGGGGGGAGTTAAATTGTATCTAGTTGATTCCTGGCATTACCAGCATTAGGAAGTCTAGAAATTATTGAGAGGGTGTACATGAGGCTGAGAAGGCCAGGGAAAGGATCTTATCTCAGTCAGGGCATGTTTTGTGTCCCTCTGTTAGCTGGGTGTGTTCCCTCAAGTCACCCTTATATCCATACCCTCCCTTTTCTGTGCTGAGCCTAATGTTCATCACAGTTTGATTGAGGTTGGTAAAGGCATCCCCCAAGCTCTCCTGGAGACTGAACTGCCAGTACCTTCATCCCATCTGTCCTTGAAGGACCTGGGCCCCTGACTCTGTCCTCTCAGACCAAGACTAGAAGAAGACTGAAAACGTACAGACAGAGGTGAAGGTGGCTCAAAAGTCAGCTGGAGAAAATACATACCCCAGCCTAAGAGATAATACCACCGCATGTGCTGCCTCTCGACGAACACGGCCACCACAATGAGAGTATGGAGATAGATCCCCTCACAGAGCATCCAGAAATAGTTGCAGGCCATCATGTACTGGTGGAAGAAATGCAGAATCTTGCAGCTCACCTGTCAGACAGGAATGAAGAGACGCAGAGGAAGACATGAGTAAAGCTCTGACAGTGAACAGAGGCTAAATGCGAAAAGGAGACAAAGTATCTACATTCAGTTTGCAAGGCAGTTTCCCCAAATGTCTGGCTTTGATGAGTTGTATCACCATTCAGTGCCTGCATTATCGGATCATGTTTCGACAAAACATAAAATTTGTTGAACAATAATGTCACTTTCAAGAGGGGATCCTGCAGTTTTCTTGATGGGGCACACTACTTAAACAAATATATCTTTTCTGTTAAATGTGCCAAAGAGCTTTTATAATTATTTGATTAAAAATGGAATTGGAATTACAGAACTGAAGTTTTCCAACTAACTTTAAGACTGTTAAAAATTCTTTTCTTAGGCACGTAGCAAAGCCTGGCACCTAAGTCAGAGGAGAAGAAATGAATCAAACTACTGGGGTTTGTGTTATTGACATGAAATAATCTACTCATTTTATGTGAAAATCAAGGAGGAAGAAGGAGTAGATTAGCAGGTTCTGCCAAAGTTGATCACATTAATGAGCACTGCCAAACATTCTGCTCTTCTTCCAACTTTTGCATTTTGCGGGGGCTGCAATACAAGCTAATTTATAATAAAACAGGTGACTGCCTATAAATTTACATTTCAAATTCACATGGACAATACTGAAGCAAAATGAAGAGCATGCAAAGAGTATCTTTCCTGTCTCTTTAGTCATTGAGAGGCCAAATGGAGACCAATGAAGACTTATGGCAAACAGTTAAAACAACATCCTTCATTACACAAACACATTAATACATAACTCAAAATATTGAAAACTTAGTTTGAAGTGGTCTAAATAGTACTAACTCCATAATAATTTGCGCTGAATCAAAGCTATCAATTTTGTTTCTGACAAGTCTTATTTTAAAACAGAAATAAACTTTGCTATTTGTTCAGAGTGATCTCTAGTGATTAAGCATAATTATGTACATTTCCCTGAAGCTTCTACAAAAAGTTTTCTCATCAGTTCACTTTTGCACAGAAGGAAGAGTGTGAAGTTATGTTTACTTGAGCAAAGGAAGAATCAATAAGTCAATTTCTAAATATTTTACTTGAAGGAAAAGACATTTTAAAAGACCCTGAATAATAAAGATTTGTGTTCTATGTTGGTTAAATTTGCCAGGTTATTTTTAAATTAAATTTTATTTAATATATATCTAGATTACATATTGAGTGAACATGTAATTTCTGTTAAATATGTGTCTACCTGATTCATCTTTATGTCTCTGCTGCCCCCTCCATCTTCACCTTCAGGACTTAAACCCAATAATATTTATAACGAAGGTGAGCAGCAGATGCTTATTAAACTGAAATTAATATGACTTTAGGTAGTGTTTATAGTGTTGTTCAATGAAAATATTTTGACTCCTAATTCAATATTTTTTCCTCAAGTACCCAGACAAGAGCTGCTTATCCAAGATCTGACAAATAAATGCCAGGATCCTTTTTACCTAACAGCACTACAGTTCTTGCAAATATCTGCAAAGATCAGTACATATCTGAAGGGGTCAGGCTGCTGACATGGACAGAAAGCCTGGGCTGGATCCCTAGGGGGACCATCTTGAGTCTTTGTCCTGTTTTTCAAACTTGGGAGCAACGGCTCTTTACAAGGTGGCAGTCCCTAAGGTCTGCTATGCCCTATCATTATCTCCTGTAGTCCTGGCAGAACAAGTGTTTGCCTTTGCACTTCAAACAGGGCATGTGTACGCGTATGTGCCCCCAGCTGTATGCAAAGACTTTTCTAAGGGCATGAGAAAAATCAGCGGGCAATTGCACAATTTTCTAGTGTTCTTTAGGCTGTCCTTTTCCATCTGTCCTTTCACTGTACAATATAAAAGCATACTCCTCTCCCGTAACAAATTTTACTGTGATTCATTACTCAAGTGTAAGACAACTTTCAAGTTTCAAACTCTTGAGAGGAAGGAAGTCGCGTGAGAAGAAAGCAGATCTGTTTATGTCTTTCATCAACTTTGGGACATTTTCAACATTTATTTCTTTAAAAAATTTTTTTCAGGCTCATTTTTTACCTTTTCTTCCTTGGATTCAAAATATATGTATTTTAGACTATTAGATATTGTCCCACAAGTCCCTGAGACTCTATTCATTTTTCCTCCCAGTAGTTTATCTCTGTTCTTCAACTTGGATAATATCTATGGACTTATCTTCAACTTCGCTCACTCTTTACTCTGTCATCTTGGCTCTCTCATTGAGCCTATCTAATATAATCATTTTTTAAAATTTCAGCTGCTCTATTTTTCAGTTCTAGAATTTCTAGTTATTTTTTTAAACAATTTCTACTTTTTTTGGCTGATTTTTTTCTATTTTTTATTCATTCACATCCTTGACCATAGTTATGATAGCTACTTTAAAATTTTTGTCTGTTAATATTAATGTCTGGGTCATCTCAGGGTCTGTTTCAATTGTGTTTTCTCTTAAGAATGTGTCATATTTTCCAAATTTTTTGTATGTCTGGTAATTTTGGATTGAGTTCTGAATATTATAAATGTTATGTTGTAAATCTTGGATTCTGTTATACTCCTTTGAAATTTTCTCTTTGGGGGTTTTGTTTTGTTTGTTTTAGTGGGCACTTAACTTGACTAAATCCAAAGTGCAAATTCCCTGTGATGGTAGTTCCTTAAATCTCCATTCAGTTATTTCAGACTTAACTATACTCATGGAGTCCTTTGCACACACGTAGTTACGGGGTCAGCCAAGGACTGGACATAAGTATAAACACAGAATTTGAGGCTCCTCTTCTCTCTCTTTTTTCTGAGATTTATTTCCTTCACTTTTCAGGAGCTGTCGTTGCCCTAAATTCTGTCTTCTATTTTTTCAAGTTGATAAAATTGAGGGTTTTCTACCAGAATTTTAGGTGTCCTGAAAAGCACGAAAACAATGGTAACTCTGCCCACAGCTCTGCCCATTTTCAAGTCTCATCTTTCTTCTAGTGTCTACTGCTTTGGTCTCTTTTCAGGGTCTTCAGATAATTTCTTTTTGTATTTTGTCCAGGGTTTGTAGTTGTTATCTGTGAGAGATTGTGCTAGATAGGAACTGCTTAGCCATCACCATTTTGTTTTTAATCAGTTTTAGATAATACACTACTGTAATATATAGTCTGTGACATCATATGAAAACTATGGTGGTAGGATAATCATAGAGGAATCTTTAAATAAAACCACAAAGTAGGTCTTACATGATTCAAATATTGTAGAATGTATATAAATACTCCACATTTTAATAATTAATGCAGTAATTTTTAATTTTCAGTAGCTCAAATAATCTATCTACATCTCAGAATTAATCTTTTTTCTTCAGTTTATTTAGTTGTAATATTTATTTCTGAGAACACTTCCTGTTTTCAGGATTTGCAGTGTATTTTAATACCTTTCTGGTTTTGAGCTAATGTTCAAATAAAATATTTAAAAATATAGCTGCCTGTAAACATAGTTAAATTTTCATAGTACACTTGCTTTTACTTTGTAACAATGGTTCACGTTTTTCAACTATTTACACTGCATGCAAATTATCCAGAACTTTTCAAGGTCCTTGAACTTAATACATGTAAAATCTGTAATCACTTTTTTCTCATAAAGAAGAGATGCAAGCCTTATTTATCAGCTGCATTTAATTACACATGGCACTAATATGGATGTTCTCCATTGAAGTACTATTTATGTAGGCAACTGAAACATTTTTCTACAATGGCCATCTTTACATGAGACATGTTTACAAGGTTTTGTTTTTTTTGTTGTTGTTGTTTTGTTTTGTTTTTTGCTGTTCCCTTATCATTTCAATTAAAAGAAAACCAGCTCTTGGCTGAATCAAATATACACAGAGTCCCTTTTCCTCACTCCACCATCCCAAACTGCATTTCCTCAGAAAAAACATCACAGAGAAAACACACTGAAAAGTGACTGGAAAGGGTCCTACTGTATGGAGTTAACAATTAAGTCTCATCCTTTCCCAGCCTATCCCTATCCATAAGAAAGAATTTTGATTTCAAAATGGTTTTGAAGTATTATTATTAGAGAAGTGCTTTCAGAATTAGTTTTTGTTTCATGAGAAAAAAGTCTACAAGTGTTTCCATTCTTTGTGACATAAGTGGCAGTGTGTGTTTATCATTCATTATAAACATCATTGAAACCAGTTATTTAAAAAATGGGAGATACTAGACCTGATGAGATGGGGGATGTTAATAAGTTTTCTTTCCCTTATCTAATTATTTGAAGTTGTGAATTGTGTCTTGGAATATGGCATGGGAGAATGAGATGTCTGAATAGTTTGAGTATGTAATCAAAGAAAGGTGAATTATTTTACATTTTTAGAGTCAAAGACTCTTCATTTTTCATCTTTCTGTTGCTTTCATATCCTTCTAAAACAATATCAATTTTACAAAGTTTCCAAAAAGATTTAGCAAAACAAAGAACATATTATTTATCATTGCCATTTCCTGCCTCTTCTAAATGGTCCCTTATCATTCTAGAAGCTATTTAAGTCAGGGAACTCAGTGTTTCCAACAGAGAAAGACGCTCAGAAAACAACTCAATGTATGGTCAAAATTTATTGTGCATAAGAATTTCTGCACAAAGATATATATTGTACTTGATGGATGATTTAAGAAATTTGGGAGGGTGATTTTGATTATATGAAGATTTTATTTTTAGAGGCTAACGTCAATACCCAACACCTCTATGGGATACAACTCCACTATATTGCTTCTTTCCGTAGATCTTTACTTTCAAGTAAAATAATTAGTTCATTTTCAAGCAAACTTTATATTCTTTAAATTTATTTCTGCATTAAGCATTTGATTATTTCATACTTTTAGGAAAGCCATCTGTTTCAGTGACATATCAAAGCGCTGAACTGCCGTCCAAATGTGGAGAGATTACGGGGACAAACAAAAATATTTCTCTGGAATGTGGTATATTTGTTTCAAAGGTAACGTATAT